TCTGGGACCCCATTACAAAAAGGATGCAGAGAGAGTCCAGAAGATGGCAACAAAAAATTTCAGAGTGCTGGAGCACATGACTTACCAGGACAGGCTGAGGGATATGGGTTTATTTAGTCCACAGAAGAGTGAGGGGGCATTTGATAGCAGCTTTCAACTATACGAAGGGGAGAGGGTCTTCAAAGAAGCTGCACTCAGTGGTGACTAATGCCAGAATGAGGAATAATGGTTTCAAGTTGCAGTGGGGGAGGATTAGGTTGGTAATTAGGAAAAATTATTTCATTAGGGACAAGTCTACGCTAACAAATTATTTTGCAATAACTAAATTCAAAATAACCCTCAAAATAACCATTTTGAAATAAGCTTATTCCCCAAGGAAAGCAGGAGTTGTTATTTCAAAACAAACAGCCCCTTATTTTAAAACAAACAGGTTTGGTAGTGTAGATGCACCGCTTGTTATTTCAAAATAAGAGGAATGGGTGAAGCAGCACTGGAATGGGTTACTTAGGGAGGTGGTAGAATCTCCATCCCTAGAGGTTTTTAAGTCCTGGCTTGACAAAGCCCTGGCTGGGATGATTTAATTGAGATTGTTCCTGTTTTTACTAGGGGTTTGAACTCCATGACCTTCCCTTCCAATCCTATGATTCTCTGAGCAGTTGATATCAATTTGGGACCAGATCAGAGCCATGTATTGAACCCTAGACATATGTAAAAACAGTTGTAAGAACCATCACATTTTTATATCACGTGATCTTTAAAACAGGGAGGGGGACTGTTTGTTTCTTTGGCTTGGGGCATGATTTGCATGTTAGAATCAGATGGGCATATCTCACTTCATCAATCCCTTGCCACTGCATAGGCATCGTGGCATCTCAGTACCTCTCTTACTTTCTGCCAGCTTCACATGACAGTTTAGTCTCCTGAAGACTGAAATACTTTAGGGCAGGTCCACACTAGGAAATTAAGTTTCCTTAACTATTTTGTTCAGGGGTGTGAAACACACACAACCCTGAGCACCATAGTTAAGCCAATCTAACTCCCAATGTAGACAGAGCTAGCACTAATTATGGAAGAATTCTTCCATCAACTCTAACTACCACCTCTTGTGGAGGCAGCAAACCCCTCCTGTTGGTGTAGGCAGTGTCTACACTAAACCACTACAGCAAGTCCAGACAAGCCCTTAGTCTGCCTAAATATTAGGCTCTGCCTAGGGGTAATTTGGTAACATGTGATATACAGTAGGTCAGACAAGATGATCTAATGATCCCTTCTGGCCCTACACTCTTTGAAATCTAGTTAGACTTTCTGTTTCGGGTTTGAATAGTGGTTATTTCTTTTCTGTTTGGTGGTGAAAAAGCTAGGCTCACATTCCCAGCTCCTGCTCCCCTCCCCCAAACACTCCCATTTACTGATAGTTTGAAGTGTTGAAGGAAAATTTGGGACTTATTATAGGAAATCTTTCAAAATAAACGAAGCTAAAATGGCATTTCCTATTATTATAACAACACAAAATGAATAACTAAAAAATGGCACCAGAAAGACTTACTATTAAGTCAACCACAATGCAGTTTCTGGAGCATTAGTACAAGAAAATGAAATCTTACATAGGAGAAATGAATATGAAATATCCCTTGTAAAACTTGAATATGAAATATCACTTGCAAAACTCTAATTTAAATGTCTGTCTCCTCTGGGAAGTGACTGGAGCAGAATTTTGGAGTTGCATATTTCATTTCTTTCCTTGGGAAGGATCCTGAAAAATCAGCTTGAAATATGGTAAGTCAAGCAATGTTCTTTTTTATTCCCACAATACCAAACAGACCAAATTAAACACTAATTTAATCCCACTGACTTCAATGGTGCAAGATTGGGCTGTCAAGCATTTTTTCCCCCCTGCATTTCCACTAAAAGGCGAGCTCACCTGAAGGAGGAGATTTCTAAAAATCCCCGTTAACAAAACGGAATGCTGCTGGTAAATGTGTTTTCCTCACTGGCTCAACTTCATCAATTCTGGGATAATCCAAACTCCATTGAAGGAGTTTCTGGTTTTCAGGTTGAGTAGGTGGGTGGATGGATGGAGATAATTAATTTTGAATGTTCCTTCCCTGCAATAGGTGATGAACTTTCCCCTTGATTGTTCTTTAAATTGCCTAATGTGAAATAAAAACTATGTTTTTAAAATATGTACATTGTTCTGGAACCCAAAGCTCCAATCAGGACTGTTACAAAATGTGACAATTTACTGCAATATCCTTGAAGACCTTCCTGAATTAAGTGTAAGCATTTTGGGAGTACATTATATTAAATGCAAAGCTTGTGTTTTATTGTAGGCTGTGACTGTATGTACCTGGTCTAGGGGAGATGTGGTGTGAGGTTTGAGAGTTCAAAGGACTATACTGAAATTGTGCCAGAGAGGAACTGACTTTTGGGACAATAAGCGTTAAGTGGATTTCCTAGGGATTACTTATGAAGTGGTTAATGTAAATTTCCCACCTCTGGGTTATGCAAAAACACAGTTCTATAAAGCTACACTATGATAAATGATTGTCATCTGGCTACCTGCCCAGTCTCTTTTCTGGTTCGGAATCTGAGATTTTTATGAAATTGTAACAATCACGAAAACCTCAATCAGTCGGTTTCTCCCAAAGCCATCTCTGTGCTTCCTCCTGAATTACCCCTTACTGATGGGGAAAAATTTCTGACAAAATTCAAATAATCACTATGTCATCCTCCTTCAGACTCCTTTCAAACCCAGCCTGATGTTCATGGTGCAGCAGGTGATAAGCTGTGACTATTTCTTTTCCTCTTCTTTCCTTTTCCTACTCCCTTCTCCAACCCCTGGTTATTTAAACTAAGTCTACACTAGGGGATACATTAGAATTATGATACAAAACTCCAGCTACGTTTATTGCATAGCTCAAGTTGGAGTATCTTAACTCCCATTTTGGTGCTGTCCACACTGCAGGAGGTTGATGGAAGCACGCTCTCCCTTTGACTTCCCTTACTCCTCATAGGAGCAGGACTACCAGCACCAATGGGAACACCTGCTCAGTTCAAATTAGCGTTCAAACCCCACTAATTTGAACCCCAGAAGATTGACTGCGGCAGCTTCAATCTTTTCTGTAGCGTAGACAAGCCCTAAAAGACAAAACAAAACTGTAGCAAGGAGGTGTGGCTTTCCTCTGAGGAGGATGCTGAGGGCCGGCGATGACAGCCTACAAAAGCAAAAACCTACACTTTCATCAAAGCTGTGCCAGTTCTTCACCAGATTTATTTGCTTACATATTTTATCCCGCCACTTGTCCTTCCCCTGTTTGCACTTTTTAGATTGTAAGCCCTTTCAGGCAGAGATCCTTTGTGTTTGCCCAGTCTCAAAATGCCTAGGATTCAGTTCTGTTTAGGGCATTTGGAGCTACCTGAATTAATTATAAGACAATTTCTATTTCAGTTTTATAGCACTACTAACCGTCATTTGGATCCAAGATAAAAGGCTCATTGGCAAAAATCAGATTCAGAATTTCAGAGCACCCAGTGGAAAGTTTAGTTTCCAAACAGCCTAAGGCTTTATCTGTTCTAGTGTTTTTGTTACTATTGTTGTTTTGTATTTTAACATGTCTCTATTTGCCCCTCAAAATGGTTGGTAAGACATCTTTGTTTGTTGAAAATCTGTATTTGTGTAGCATTGTTTGTTAATATACATATTACTTATTCAGAAACAATCCTTTTGTAAATATAGGATTGCATTAAGTAAGCTTTAGTAAGAATGTATTATAACTGATCAAATTTATCTATGTACTTTAAAAATTAATTAAATATAGAATGATACAGTCTTACTGTTGAATTAATATTCAGGTTTGGTTACCCTCAACCTTGCAGTATTCAGACCCTTACATCATTCTAAATTAAAAAGCAGCTTTCCTGGCCATGTAATAACTTTCTTTTTAATGTTACAAGTTTTGCCTTTTAGCAGTCCTGGCTACAAATGGAAAAAATCCTGGTCCGGCATAATCATCTTTTAAAACCCAAATTACATTTACAAGAAACTGTACATCAGATGCACAAGATGGTGTTTTTCCTCTCTTCCTCGCTCCCACCTCCCCTGTATTTTTATTGTTTAAAAACTGTAAAAATAATGAAACATTAAAAAAACTAAATGTAGTTTGAAATATAAGCTGATAAAAGGAAATATAAAGTTGTGACAGAAACTGTTCTCATATCTCACTTCATCATGACTAAATATTTCAGATTCCAAGACAACATTTTTATGATGTTAGATGCCTGATACCTTTCAGTGTCTAGGCACAATAGAGAAAATTATAAGCAAGCTTAGCACAGCAATGAAATTCAGAGTTAAATTTGTGTCCTAACCTAAACTATTTTTTGCATGTAATTATATATTGGATTAGTTTGTATAACAAACCAAAATTCAAAACAGCAATTACCAGGTTTAAATTTCAAAATTTAAAGAAAACAAAAAACCCCACCAAAAAAAACATTCTCTTCAGAAAATGTGTAAGTAAAGAGTTAGTGTATCTATTTTGCCTGTGTTTATTTATGAACACTAGAGTTGAGAGGTTTCATCAATCCAATGCAAGTTATTCAAGCTAAAGTTAAATAACTTTACAAAGATATTACCATAATCTAATGCGCACACAAAAACTGTGCAAAACACAATTTAATCAGTGACTAGCATTGTTTATTTAAATTGTACTGAAAAGTAGAATTACAAATACTTAAGCTGTCTCTCTCTAAGCCTTTTACATAATGGAGGATTCTGATACTGCACCGCTCAACCATCTTGTCAACAGTAAAAATTTATTTTTTTTAATTTACTAAACAAATTGATATTAAAATCAAGTACAGTATACTTTTAATGAAAATAACCTGTAAAAATGCCTAATCCTTTGAAGTACCTTCTGTTGGACTCCCAGCTACTACAACTGTATCAACTGTCAAATATAAAGCACTTTTATTTTAAAAAATAAAATAAAAAGACTCACCCATGCTTGGCCCGCCTTCCTCATAATCCTGTTCATTCATAATAAAATAAAGTAAAACCTGCTACCTCTTCAGATATCAAGAAATGAAAGAGCAGGAAGCTGACAGTTGTCCCCTGACTCTCGGTTTTGTGTAAGACCTCAAATCCTATCTCTCTGTAGTAGTGGATTAATCCTGAGGCAAGTCATCAAGGCTTCATGCAGTTTAAAGTATGCATATGACACAAAGCCAAGCTGCACTCTCACAGCAGTCCACTCCCAACAGAATTAAGCTACATGATCTTTATCAATGATAAAGACATTTGACGTTAGTAACTTAGGCCCTGCCCTTACCATGGGGTACAGTGTTTTGAGTAGGACGATTCAAACTGCACCTGCAGCTTACTATATTTATTACTTCTACTAATAGAAATCTTATTTTAGAAAATATTTCCATTAAGAAAATATAAGAACATACAACTGGACAGGACCTTCTGGGTCACTGAGTCCAGTGCCCTGCTATCCCAAGCAACAACTTCATAGAACCTTTGTGTATATAGGCAACAAATGATATTACTACTGTAATCCAATAGGTATTTCATTATGCAGAGGCTAATTTCTTTTGAGGTCAAATATATAATCCTAATTATATTTCATGTTAAAGAGCAAATATAGTTAAACCTGTTGTTTGTAAACAGTTTTCTTTAACTGCAAGCATTATTCTGATTTTAAGTTTCTATGTGAAGTCATTCTGAATATATTTAAACAAATACTCAACAACTTTAATCAGTTTATCACAAACACTTGAATTGTTCTTAAATGCATGTTATTACTTTGAAAAGGTGATGCCCTATGATCAAATCTTAGATTCAAATATTAAATCCGGCTCTTCCTTTAAGCATGAATAACCTCTAACCCCATATTCACTGTTACACCTTCATTGATAATAAATTTATTTCACACAAAGACTTTCTAAATGGGAGATTTAGAATAATGTATAATACATCTGTATGGAAGGCTAAAATCTAAGATGGATGATAAGAATATCTACAAATATAGACACAGATTCCACAGGGTAAAACAATTAAAAATTTAATTTGCTATCTGATATATATTTAAAAACATGACATAAAGAAGCGATGAGAATTACATTTGAGTACAGTGATGGTGAACAACACTTGCACGTTGGTCCAAGAGAACCTGACTGTAAGCCAGATAAAAGAACTAACTCAGGCAGATATTATCTGAGGTACAAAATTATCCATCTGGGCTCTTTCGCATCAATTAAAAAAATGTGTGCGCTTACAGTTATGAGTTTCCTTCTGAGCAGCTTAAGGATTTAAGATAGATGCTTCTCAAACCTCTATCCTCTCAGAAGTAAAGGCAGATCCTATGTCACAAGCTAGACAGGTGCCCTCATTGTATGTACAACAGCAACATTTCTATGACAACTCCTTCTCTAATTCCTAATGTCATAGTAATACCCCTTGAGGAGAACATATCTGTCTGAAATTAATCAAAGGATTACATTCTGCAGTGTATGTAATCCTGTCCTGTCTGAAAAATATCAAAGTATTCCAACACACCTAGGAAAATGTTACAGGCCGTTTTACCTAGGAAGTATACTGGAGTAGGCCCATCTCCAAAACAAATTTGTATCCAAATGCCGTTGATATGATTATTAGCAACAAAATAGCACATGAAGACACCAGTCTTTATGAAACTCCAGCTGGTACAAACTGATGAACACCACCAACACAGGCTATCGCAAGCACATTAGACCTGTACACCAGCTTCCCATAGAATATCAATCAAGTGCAAAGTTTTGGTCCTTACCTTCAAGATGATCGACAGCCTGGGGCACAGGGTATCTAAGAGGCTACCTTAGAGTCTACAAAGAAGACTGGCATCAACAACTTCACTCCTCAAACATAATGGCACTCCCTATACCAGGGGTAGGGAACCTCTCACATGCCGGCTGGATACAGTTCACCAGGGCTAGCTGCTGGCAGGCCACCAGATTGTTTATTTACCTGAGCAGCTTAAGGATTTAAGACAGATTTACCTGAGCATCCACAGGTATGGCCACTTGCAGCTGCTATTGCCTGCGATTCACCATTCCTGGCCAATAGGAGCTGCAGGAAGTGGTGTGGGCCGGGCCACCATTCGCCAGTGGGAGTGTTAAATTAACCCTGGTGAGTCACATGAGGCCTGTGGGCCAAAGGTTCCCCATCCCTGCCCTAAACTAAGGGCAAAATTTGTCTTTATGGAAGACAGAGCTTTCCTTGGGGCTGGTCTGAAACTATGGAATGGTATCTCCCCAGAAATAAGAACCAACAGTAACTTCCCCAGGTTTCACACCAAGTGCAAGGTTTACATTTTTTATTAAGTGTGCTATGATGATCTGGGGAATCTCTGGACACTTTATGAATTCTGTGTGAGATTATGAAGTGTATCTCTGAGTGTATCTGTATCAAGCTGCAAAGTCTGTTTTGAATGTGCAGTCTTCTGTCTTCTCAGTTGTCCTTTCAATTCCACATTGGAATGAAATGCCATCATGGGTAGGGGCAAAGCCTACAATTACAGGATGAGTTAATTTCAGGGCTTGACCACTGAATTGTAATCACTCTACTCCACAGATTAGCTTCTAAACAGGAAAACAGGTGTAGTAGGGGAGAGATTGTCTGGCAACTGTCACTTGATAGGGGTTTCTGCTGATCTGATAGAGGACACAGATTTAAAAAGAGCAGCACCGATCTCTTCTGGCACTTGATAGGGGTTTCTGCTGATCTGATAGAGGACACAGAGATTTAAAAAGAGGAGCACTGATCTCTTCTGGAGCCATTTTTCTCCAGCTCAAGATGAGCATGCAGCAGCCTCCTGAAGTGGGGGTCCTACTTGCCTGGACACTGATGGCCTCCAAGGATCTCTTGAAGGAAGGCTGAGATAGTCAGGAGACTTGCATTTTGGATTGTGACAGTGTATAACTGACATATAACCATGTATATCATAAATACTGCCACTGTTACACAATTCCAATAAAACTTATACAAAGGATATCATGTAAGGTGTCAATAGGGAAGTTATAATTTGCTAAATAAAATTATCCTGTTTAAATACATGTATCATTGCTTTATCTGAAGTTATGAATATTGGCTATATACCTGTATCTTAAATATATTTGTTCCTGGGCTAACAGTAGTTTACATTCAGTCTAGCCAGCCCATTGTGAATGGACTAGTCAAGCTGGATGGCCCATTAAGGACACTTCACTCCAACAATGATTCACAGAAAAAACTCATTCCGGCCACATGGTCCTTCCTGGAGATACCTCAGCTTCCAAGGGGCCAATAGTAACCCCCTTAGGGATCAACAAGTCAATGTAAGCATGTTATTTGCTCACGTGACCTTGGATGCCAACTTTCCACAAACTGGGCTGTGAGCTTTGTTGAAACAGAAAATTTTGAGGCACAAAGCAAAGGATACAAAAGACCCTGGAATGACTCCACTGTGCCTCTTTCATGCCATTATTCTCTAGGCTATGGATTCACAATCAGGAGTAGCATATTGAACTCCTTATATTGAACTAAGGATGTATCTAAACAGACTATACAAGCTAGAAGTCTTGCTCCAAACATGGTATAAAAAGATTGCCATTACTGTATGTATACGAGCTATTACCATTTTACTCACTTATGTTCTTTTATTATTAACCTTTATATTTTATTTACTAAAGAATTTGCAGTAATGTGATTATTGGATAAGATTTGAGTTATATATTGACTTAGTTATGTGGCTGACCTCTTGAGATTAGACTCTATATGGGTATGTCTACACTACAGCGCTAATTCAAACTAACTTAGTTCGAATTAGTTCATTCGAACTAAGCTAATTCGAACTAACGGATCCAGACTAAAAAACTAGTTCGAATTAGCATTTTGCTAATTCAAACTAGCATGTCCACATTAAGTGGACCCTGAACCGGGGTTAAGGATGGCCGGAAGCAGTGCCGGCAGGGCATCAGATGAGGACTTAGAGCATGGAGCTGCTGCCTCAGGCTAGCCGAGGGCTGTGCTTAAAGGGACCCGACCCCCACCCCGGACAGACAGTTCTCAGGGGTGCCC